GGCCATGGAGAAGGAAGAGACCTTCACTCAGACTGTGGGAAACGAACAACAGCGAGCACAGGTGGTGGGGCCCCGATTACACGCGAGGTGTTTTCTCCCAAATCTTCACGGAAACCCTAAGAGGCAGGTTCTACTATTATGCCCATTTCACAGGTGAGGAAACCGAGGCACAAAGAGGTTGAAGTAACTTGCCCAAGATCACACAGCTGGTATGACACAGGGCAACAACTGCTCCTGGGACATTTTAGAAAGTGGACAGGAGCATGTGGGGTCAGGGTCAAGGGATGGCAAATGGGTGGTCAGAGGAGATCAGATCAAACCCCTTCAGCCTTTTCAGGAGACTGAACTTTATTACAGGCACTACAGAATTTTTAAATCCATGGTTCTCAACAGGGGGGCTGAGGGAGGGTTTGTCCCTCAGGGGACATTTATCTGGAGGCATTTTTGGTTGTCAAAATGTGGGGGTATGGTGGTGTGCTACTGGCATCCAGTGGGCGGAGGCCTGGGATGCTGGTAAACATCCTACAGTTGCACAGGATGCCCCCTCGACAGGGAATGAGCCAGCTCCAAAGGTCAGCACTGTCACGGGGGGTGGGGGGGATGCTTTGCTTCAAAGGCTCCTGAGCACGGAACGACAGGGGAAGAGATGGACTGCCAACCACGCCGCAGGCTTGGTGAGGCCGCAGAACCAGGCTCTGGGGCCGTGGGCAGGTCCTGGCCCTGATGAGCCCCTCATGTCAGCCCTAAATTCCCAGGCGCTACTCCACTAAACCAGCTCTTCCTGCGGCGGCCCTCCGCTGAGTTACTGCATCTGAGAAAGCAGAAATCTTTAACCAAATGTGACTTTGTCCTGCTGCCTTAGGATATTACTATTCCGTTAGGAACAATCATTAACCTTTGCTTAATAGGAAAACCCTTCCCTGGAGAAGAGCCTGGGCTCCCTTCTCCACCAAGAAACCGCTGCTGGGAAGGGTGGGATGCGTCTTCTCCTGCAACAGGCCGTGAAACGCTAACAGGACCAGGCCACCGTACTTGGTCCAACGCTTTGCATTTTTAGGTTTAAGACTTTTGTATGAACTGTTATTTAAAAAAGAAGGATCAGTTCATCTTTAAAAGGGGGTGACTGATCACTGCCAGTTGGGCATTCCTTTATTCTTGGCTTCCTCTTAGCTGCTGTAATCAGCTCTTCACGAACACCAGTCCACTATTAAAGAATGGTCCTCACCATGAGCCAAGCAGAGAGGAGGCAGAATTCGATGCGCACAACACCATGTTTCAATCCACAGTGTCTTACTGCTCAACGCGATCTGCCGTGTTGTTAATATTTGAGAAAAAATACACCAAGACTTTAGTAAATATTAATCAGACATGCAGAGCCCCTTTCCCTACTCTATTACCCATTACTGGGAACTCCAGGTGATAATGCCCTGCTAAACCTTCTATTTGCTTAAAATGCAAGTGAAAAGTACTTTCTGTGGATTGCACGTAGTGCTCTTAGCATCTGAAGTGGTCTGTAACAGTGGGGAAACTCTCTTCGTCTCTCTCCCCACCCCTCCTTTATTCAGTGTTCTTCCAGATCTTTGAATATCTGAGTGTGAGTCCAGCCTCCTGGCCTGACTGCTTTTCTGATGGGTTTTACCTTTTGCAGACAAGTTCAGATGATTTGAGACATGCAGAATTAATAGCACATGTGCCCAATGGTCAACATAGCCAACAGCCCCGCAGATCATGGTACCCCTGTAGGGTGCAATCTCTTTGAACTCAGAAGTCCATTTCCTTCCACTTCAGATCTCATCAGACCATGCAAATTGCCATCAACCTTTCCACACTGGCTGAAGCAGGTCTAAGTCATGATCTCCCTTATTATCAGTGAAGTCATTAAAAGTCCATCAGATCAATTGGGCTCTGACATAACATTAAAAATGTTCTTGGGTGAAATCTATTTCTCTATGCCTATAACTGGTGTAAGTTCAAAGAGGCTCCTAATGAAATCTTGTCTCATCTGTGTCAGCTCCTCAAGTTAACAATGAATATTAAAATCTAGGTGGCAAGAGCTGGACTCATCACGGAACTTCAGAATTTGAACCTGAAAGACTGTACTACTGAGAGCCACGAGCTTCGTATAAGCAGCAAATACTCAACCTGACCGTGAAGAGGTAAGGGGCAAGTGTTCATCACGTACTTCCTGGAGGCCAGGTCAGTCTACCCATGAGCCTGGAATTATCAGCAGCAGAATGACAAGGGGAGGTGAGTTTTAGCTAAGTTATTAGGTGTGCTGGTAATTTATTCTACACTTCATCTCTGTTTCAAAATCAGGCTGACTCTTTGCCTTTCCTAGAATTAGACAAAACGTTTTCTCCAAAACAATTTCTTGGCATCAGTATAACACTAAGTCTTTTCTCAATAAAAGCCATTAGTGTACGATTATGTATTGGGCATTTGGTATATTTTAACTCTGTGAAAGGGCCACCTACAAACTCTCCCTTAAACATACCATCAGTATTTTTTTCCCCCAGAGAAATGCCTGCTGTCTGCTGAGCTTTTGAGAACTAAGGACAGAAGTAGAACTCAAAGATGCCCTGTTTCGCTCAGATACAGGCAAATCAAACCAACAAAACAATTATGTTTTTCAATGTACTCAGGAGGTTTAATTCTTGCATAATAGCTTGTTGTTATGTTATTTCTTTCTACTCTTACATGTGGGAAGTCGGGATTTCTACACCAGGGCTTCTGAACTTCTTTTGAATTTGACCCATCATAAGAAACACATTTCATACTATGAATCAGTACACATGGGTTTATATACACAAAAGAAAACAACTGTTTAAGATATATTACTTCCCTTGCTATATGCAAGGTAGACATGTTTTATTCCATTTTTTTAAATGCTGGTCATAATCTACAAAATTGATTGCACTAATGGGTCTTGATCTACAATTTGACAAACAGTGCCCTATCCTAACATAATACATGAGCTGCTCAACTCAAAAACACAAGAGGTGTTTATTCTTCATTCTAGCATAGAATACTTCATTTTAGGATAATTACATATTGGTTAACACTGGGGAAGTCACTTATGAAACACTTGTGTTATAGCAGGAATTGAAATCACTAGTGTGGATGCCAAAACATATTTTCAGTTAAGAAAGTGGTGGATACCCTTCGTGTTTCACACAGGTTGTGTCTACTGTCTGTAAACTGTACTATTTGGGGGATTTCTTTCCTTTTTTCCTTCCTTGCTTCTTTTTTTCTTTTTCTTTTCTAACTCAAGTTGGGACTACATGATAAAAAGTGAAAGAGTTCATTGAGTGTTTCCAAATGTACAGCTGCTTTGGCATGGAGCAGTACACACAGCAACCATCTCCCCTCCGTGTGTCACCTCCCACGCAGGTGTTTTGGGGTGTGGGAGATAGAGCCTCAGGTAGGGGAATTCTGATAATGTTCCTTGAGCTAAAGCTGCATGTGTACCGTCCGTTATTTATCTAATATAGGAGATCAGTTACCATCAACATGCAGTTCGAGAGGGGAATTTCTCATTGCCTGGAAGGTTAGGTTCTGGAAAACCACCATAATGTCATTAGCTATTGAATAGAATTTGGGATAAAGTAGGTTCATCTTGGAAACTAGCCAAAAAAATTAGTATTATTTTCTGCCAAAAGATGCCTTCGTGGGGGCTATCCCAACAATGAGGACAATGTTCTTTCTACTCAGGTTTTAAAGGAGGTTATTTTAAAACTGAAAAGAAAATGCAATAACCTCAAAATAGTGATCGGTGTTCACAGATCTGGTTCAGACATTCGACTTCGACCTCTTTTTTTTTCATATAAGATGAAATGCTTGGACCTCATCGTGGAAATGACCTCTACAGGAAATTCAGTGGGAAAACTATTTGAAACACCACGTTGCCAAAACAAATGGATGATGGATTTTTCAGCTCCATTCTTGTACTGAGTTACAAAGTATATTAGCAAAAGAAACAGAAAAAGGGATTACAATATGATTCCGCAGAAGACAATATAAGGAGAGGAAAGTTAATTGAATCTTGCTATCAAACCTCTGGGGTAGAGGGCGGTATGGTTTCCACAAACTCTCACCAAGTTGTAAAATCAAGAATGGATAGAGGGTTAGATTGAATTAGAGGCACCTAAATTGTAATTCTTTGAATGTCAAGAACACAGATATTTTAAAATGCAGAACATTTTCTTGGTTTTTACTCAGAAGAATGATGGGATATTAAAAAATCCTTAAGATTACTGGCTTTCCCCATATTTGCAAGGCAAGAAGGAATAAATTGATGTAAGTGATAAGAAAAATCACTCCCCCCTCCTTTTTCATTATTAATGACCAAATATTATTAAATCAATAATTTTGGTGATGATCTGAATAGGTTATTAAATATCATGAATTATTAACCTCAAAGTTGATCAGGGCTATGAAAATAATTCAAGTTAATAGGCATCTCTGGATTTCTAATGAAATATACAGTCACTGACAAAACATCTCTGTTAGGATTTCTGGAACATGAAAAAGCAGAGACCACAGATGTCCTTAAGGAAGAGACCGACATTCTTTGCTGGATTACAGGAAATTAAAAAACCAGATATCCATGATCAAAATAATGGGAGACCAAAGAGACCAAGTAAAAGGTGCCAATGGCTGTAGGGAATTCATTCCCCACCCCTACCCCCACCTCTGTTCACCCCACTTCACCCTCCCAATTAATACTGCACCCATTGTGTCAGAAACCTTAAAAAAAATTGGGAAACTAGCCATGGATTTGTCAATGCTGGGTGTGCCTCCGGCGAGGGGAGTTGGGCACAAAGCAATTAGTCGGTGGCTCTTGGCCAGTAGCACTATCTGCTCCGATTACTTTGCCTTAAGCCAGGTGTGTGTGGCAGAGGCTTTGTCCAGAGGTTATACAGTAAAAGGCAGTGGAATGTGATTTAATTTAGAAGGGACAAGGAGGCAGGAGCAAAGGGGCGGGGGTGGGGTCCAGAGCAGGCAAAGAAGGTTGGATGGGTTTTGACCCTTTTGTGAAGTCTTAGTTACCATCCTTGGGAACGCTGACAAAAACAAACCAACCAGGGGTCCTGGCTGTCACTGGAGCTGAAGGTAAACAGATGCCCTCTGCGCTCTCTTTGCATGCCTCCTCCGCCGCAGGCTTCCAGATGCCTTCCCGCTCTCCCTGTGCTTGCTTCTCACTACAGGCTTCCTGCTAAACCAGGACTGGGCCAAAAGGCATTACCCTGTGGTAGGATTCCCCATTATGAAAGTGAGTCCATTATTGAAGAGTCTAATGACAAGGACTTCTTCTTTGTTTTTCTTTAACCATTTAATGCAGGGTGAGCCCTGAATATTAATGGGGGAAAGAAAGCCACAGCCAACGAGGGATTTAAACTTTTGCCAAACCTACAGATGGGGCAAGACCCAGGCAGTGACATGGAAAACAGGAATGCAGAGGAGCTTCCTTCTCCAGAAGTGAACGGGGGAGGGTGTTTGAAGCAGTGTGCAAAAGGGTTACGAGGGCTGGCGCCGGGGGTGCATACTGGGGCTCCTTCTTTAACTCTCTGCGGGATCGCAAGCAAGTGACCTAACCTTAGTTGAGTCTCCAGGGTTAATAACAACGTGTGCTTCCAACAGTGGTTATGGGCTGTATATTACTTGCCGAATTTCCAAAAGCCAGCCCTGAGCTGTTCCTTAGCCCAGAGCCAGGCAACGAGGTGCTCATTCCCTCAGCTGATACTGAGGGGGTCCCTTCTCTGTGTCCTTCCCTGTTTTTGCAGATGGATTCCAGCTATCATGACTTTTACAGATTAGTCGAGAAATGACAATAAATAAGTAAACCAAAAACTACTCATGATATTTTCAGGGTGCAATAAGTACTATGAAGAATACTTTTTATTTCAGCGTGAAAGATAAGGGAGGGCTTCCTGCTGGAGGGAAAAGTCTCAGCTGGGATTTACAGAGGGCAAGCTGTGGGTCAGGAAGAGGGTGGAAGACTACTGAAAGACAAGAAAACTGCAGAAGTGAAAAATATTGGATAAGGATGATCATAATGATTATGATTTTTATTATTAAATTGGGAATTCAGGCATTCAAGACCAGCTCCCATGAAAAACTTGCTCTTGAGGGAAGCAGTGTATATCAAAGGTCTTGCCCACCCTCAAAGGTCTGGCATGCCGCCTCCGAGTCCCCTCCTCTGGCTGTGCCCCATCAAAAGGCATCATTTCATTACTTCTCAGACTCACTGGAGAAGGGGTTGCCATCCATTTACCCCTGGGGCTAGAATTATTTGGACTACCACGAAATGGCATTGGAGGTGGTCCAAGCACACAGGCAAAGACTCATTGGTAGTTAAATCATGCTAAGACATAACAGTAAGTAAATATGCTCAGAGAGGAAATTTCAGCCATCCAAGGACACAGGAAAACCACAACCCTGGCCTCAAAACTGCATTCCTCATATATCTGACCCATGTTCTTGTGCTATAGGATAAACGAAATAAATCAAGAGACTCTTGGGATAGATCAGGAATAAGCCTACAATAAATTCTGTTAAACTTGCTTGTCAGTGCCTTGCCTGGAAACTTCACTTCTTTTTGGAAATTAAAAAATATTATTGAATGCTGTGGTAATGTGGCAGGAACAGAGAAGGAAATTCTCCCTGGAATTTCTACCTCGTTTCTGAGGAGGTTAAATAATTGGAGATAATTCGGTTTTGGGGAGATTCGTCATGTGTTGGATTCCAATAGGATAAAAAGAACTTTCGTTTCTACATGCTACATATTTACAATTTTATTAATTTAAAAATGGTATGCAGCCGCTCAATTCGGTGTAGCACAGTGCCCAAAGGAAGCACTAAATAAATACTAGTTGAATGAACCAAGACTGGGTGAAATGGTTTAGAATCCTGTAAATTTGTTACAGATGGCAACTATATTTTTTGAGTGTTTCCTACGTGCTAAGTGTTTTACATAGATTATCTAATTTACTATGTAAGATGTAGGTCTTATTCTGTTTTGCAGATGAATGAGCTTAATCTTAGCAATGTTAACCAGTCAACCAATGTTTATTAAGCACTGACTGTGTGCCAGACACGCATAGCTCGTAAGTTGGTTTGTCTGACTCCAAATGCTATGTTCTTACCCACAATGCTCAGCTGGTTCTGAATGGAGGATGCTAGAGGCCAAGTGTACCAGACCCTAAATCTGACTTAGCTTCCCACTGATTCCAAGGAACATCAATGTCAGGCGAACTTGGGAGAATGAAGGATTCTCACGGTATACACCCCCATGATCAGCAATATCCTATTTCTGGACTTCACGCATGTGCACCTAAAAGGCTACACTCTTCATGGTCTGGCCTATGTTTTTCATTAAATCTAACAAGCATTTTCATTACAACATGCAGACCGAGCTTTAGAACAATGATTTTCCATCTGGTAGCCAGACATTAGGACACATTTTAAGCAACTAACTGGACATGCTGCATGGATCCCTTGGGCCACATTGAAACTGGAAATAGAACAAATGCGATCTGGGAGTCTTGAGGCAGCATTTTCTGGGCTGAGAGATAAAGGCCAAGGGGATGGGGAGGCTCTCCTGCTCTCTGCTTGCTCAGGGAATCCGGGTTGCTAATAACAATCAGGTGGGTATTACACCAGGCCTTGGTTCAGGCACCTCAAACTTTTCCCTTGACAGGCTGGGCAGTACCCCTTTATTTTTACTGAGACAATCATGGGACCAGCCTTGGGGAATAAAATACAGCAAGAGAATCATTATGGTCCCCAGATGGTGATCTGTGTGGGTTTAAATCAGTGACTCTCAAGCAGAGGCAATTCTGCCCCCGGGGGGATATTGGGCAACGCCTGGAGACATTTTTGATCACACAACTGAGAGCGGTTGCTAGCCTTTCGTGTGTTGAGGCTGGGAATACTACCACATCTATAATGCACAGAATCTGGGTGGGGAGGGCGAGGGAGACACTAGTGGTGTGGGTTGAGGCCATGGATGCTGCTAAAGATTTCACATTGCACAGGAGAGTCCCCAGACAAAGAATTATCTGGCCCTGAGAGTCAGGAGCACCAAGGCTGAGAAATCTTGGGGTAGGAGCAAAGTGGAAGCTCAGGCCTTAGAGAGCAAGCGAGCTTTCTTTTGATACAGTGGAAATTTGTTGTTCCTTTTTGGTTTGCTTTTCCCTCCCATCCATTCCCCCTGCTTCTGACAATAACTTCTGCTCTTGTTTTGGGGTCCCCACTCAGAGCCCACATAAGTCTAGGGGAGCTGACTAACTCTCCCACAGCTTCAGGGATGGCAGGTCCCAGACGTGACTCAACAGAGCATGCCGTTTCTCTGCCAAAAGTGGTGGGCTGGGAGTGACACTAGCTCAGCCAATCAGATGTCACGAGACGGTGACAGGAGCTTCAGAGAGCGGCCAACCCCTTGAGTCTGGACTTAGTCCTGAGAATATCACTTCTGGTCACCAGGAGGGAAGAGATGACCTCGGGATGGAGACAGCATGACAGAGGAAGACCAGAGACAGAGAGAGAGAGAGAAACCAAGCTTTCACGATATAATTGGAGGCCTTGAAATAGCAATACCTGAGGCCACCTTACCCTGGACTTGGGATTTAAATGAGCCAGTAAATTGCTTACTTGCTCAAGCCATTTTGGGGTGCACTTTCTGCCTCTGACGACCAGGAGAGGCCCAACAGATACCCTTCACTGTGAGAGTATGACAACACAAATGACTTTCATTGAAAAGCAAAAATAAAAAGATGACTTTGCATTCTCTACAAGAGATTTCATAATACAACATGTAAATCTGGGGAAAGTTCTGGAAGGCAGAATTTTCCTGACAAAGGGTTATCTAACAGAACAGCCACCGGCTATTCATAACACGAGAGGAAGCTGGCAGCCCTGATTTCTGCAAGTCAGGTACAGAAAGCTACAGGTTTCATCTATCTTGTCAAGAGCCTAGGTGTCCTGGGAGAGCAGTAGCACTTTTGACACCTGTTATAATGACATCCATGATGCCAGTGTTCATGTCAGACTCTCAGCCAGCTTGCGTGCAAAGTTAGCAAAAGCATGCCAGGCAGATGCATAGCACTATGGGGAGAAAGGCCCAGGAATTTACTCATAGGTCAATTTGGGAATTACACTGGAAGTCACCTAAAAGATCTCCTAGGGGGAAAACATTCTAACCTGCACCAACTCGGCATCCACGTATTGGACTTTCACCCAGATGCAAAGTCTAGCTAATATTGTTGAAGAACTATTATGGCAATGATTTCCCCAAGTGTGGCTCACATACCATAGGTGGCACAAGATGTTTTTAAGGGGTCCTTGAGCAAATATTGTTAATAATCTTAATAGTTATAAGATTGCTTTTAATGATAATGGAAATAAAAGTGTAACCAGCATATCAAACATGAGACTTAGTGACTTCCATTGCTTAGTACAGGGGTCAGCAAATGTTTTCTGTAAAGGACCAGATAATAAATATTTTCAGATATGTGGGCTAGATAGTCTCTACTAAAATACCCAACTCTGCCATTGCGGTGTGAAACCATCCCCAAACAATGCAGTAACAAATGGGTATGGCTGTGTTCCAATAAAACTTTATTTATAAAAACAGGTGTCTGGCCAAAAGTGGCTGAAGAACTAGAGTTTATCAGTCCCTGGCTTAATAGGAAACTAGGTTGAAAAGAAAAGTAAAAAATTTCAAAAATATAATACAAGTCATACACAGATATGATAAAAATATGAAAAAGGTTGAAGATGGGTAAAATCTGTATTGGGTCCTATGTTTTCAGTATTACTGATAATGATGGTGAAAATCATCAAGTCACTTATATTTCATCAAGCCTGTGTTTTTTGAGTGTCTATGTGTGCCAGACACTGTAAAAAACACTATGATTTCAACTGTCAATAAGACTTGTGCGGTCTGTTCCTGATCCCTGACAAAGTTTGCCAAAAGTTATGAAGAAAATAGTTATTGGTAAGAGAATAAGGAAGGCTTCTCTGAGGAAGTAACAGATCAGCAAAGACTAAAAGAATGAGAAGAAACCAGCCTTGAAGAAAGCTAGGGGAGGGTACTAGCATTTTGGAAAGGAGAAAACGCATGTGCAAATGTCCTGGGACATGAAAGAGCTCCATGGGCAGCTTCAGTGTGACTGGAGCCCACCTAGGGAGAGAGGGGAAGAGCAGGGCCTACCCTGTTGGGAAAATAAACATGAGCTGGATCAGGCCATGGTCAAAGACATGGGGAGCCACAGAAAGGCTTTAAGCAGAAGAGATACTTGAGTCCATTTCCTTGTTAATGTTGCACTTACTTCTCTGTGGGCAGTGAACTTGAGAGGGAATAATGGGCAAGGGGTTTTCATCTAACAGCCTCAGCAGCAATAGCATCTAACACTGGATGAAATCTTACTGTGTCAGATCTGCACTAGTCACCCTCAGAATTACTCATTAGATTCTCTCGATAATCCATTGTTAGGGGCAATGTAGTTATTTTCATTTTACAAAAGTAGAAACTTATGACCTGAGAAGTACACTCAGATGGCCAGGTTATCATAGCTATTGAGCATCAGAGCCAGGTCGTGGCCTCAGTCTGTATGATTCCTAGGGTCTTATCTTCTGTTTCAGGGGTTGGCAAACTATAGTCCAAAGGCCAAATCTGGCCCACTATTTGTTTTGTAAATAAAGTTTTATTAGCAAACAGCCACAGCCATTTGTTGATAGAGTTGATAGCTGCTCTCCAGCCCAGTAATTGCTGCAGACACCATATGACCAGCAAAGCCAAAAAATGCACACTATCTAGCTCTCTGCAGAAAAAGTTTGCCAAGCTGTGGTCTATGCTATATGGACACAAACTTCTTTCTTGGCAGTAGAATGTCCAAAATCAGCACTAAGATACTTTGTCATCAGTTTCTTTGTCCCTGAATGTCATGTTTGCCACTGTTCCTCAGATCCTTTCCCAATCTGTTCTCGTGCAGTATTTTCTTGTATTTCATTTTTACTTAAGATTTAAAGTGATTAAAAAAAATACAGCAATGTGCAAATTACAACTGGGAGAGAAATGTTTTCAAGAAGTGCTTCAGAAGGAACTAATGACAGAGCATGTGACAGTCAGCATCATACGAGGGAATATAATCTCCTTTTTCCCATGGCTAACGTTTGTCCCCCAGGTAATACCTTGTTTGTTAGGCTGTCTTGAGGGAAAATATACTGGTAACCCACATGCTTCCTTTGTCAAACAGGTCAGGATCAACAACACGAGAAGATTCAAGCAGACTGATGAAATGCCATCTGGTAGCGAGGGCTAAGGCAGACAGTAAATCCTGGCTTTGAATGGCGGTGGAAGCCCCAGTTGACACTTGACTCAGTTGACACATCAACACAATGGAATGGTAACTAGGTTGGCTTCCAGTTCTACTAAGGTCCCTCTGTATAGAATTAGAATTGACGTCAAGAGGCCTTCCCTTGGTGAGCAAAACAGAAACACTGGTTTTTAAATACCCTCTCCGAACATCTGAGCTATTCCATAATGAACTGCTTTATCCACACTGTGTAGAAATGTTGTGTTTATATTGATTGACAGTGCCTCATTTCCTTCTGGTAAGGGAATTGTGATCATTTCATTTTTTTTGAAAATCCAAATTAAGGGGTTGGATAGGGTTGGATGGATCTTCCCAGGAATGTGATTGCTTTGCCCCTAAAATATTATCATATCACAAAATTTAATAGATAGATAAGAATATAAATAGATGAGTTCAGTAGTAGACAAATTCTTAAAATGATTTAAACCACCTTTGGAGTGAAGCAACTTAAATCTAAGGCTTTGCTTTCAGCTTGACGGGCATTCCGCGTCAGATGGAAAACGGAGAGGGGGCTACACACTCAAGAAAGATACCCGATGACACAATTCCTTTCAGGGGCTGGTGCCTTGCAGACCTCAGCTGATCTATACTTCCTCCCTCCGTGTCGCCGTTACAAGAGCACCTCCTGCACTATTAATCCTCTCTTTAAATAAACTCACTTCTTAAATAAGCACATTTGAACAGTAAGTGTTATATCAGAACTGACAGTGAAAATCCAGCAATAATAGCTTTAAAACCGCTGGTTTGATTTGGCCCTCATTTTATATCAATACTATGCATGAAAACAAATGCATTCCAATTAAACTGTTAAGAAATTTATCTGTGTACCATTTAAAATGCCACTGTGTACTATCAGGGACTCCAGTAACTTCCAAAATAATGTCTTAAGGGAGTGTAAAAATTCATACATGTAAACACTGTATTTGATATGTTGAGCATTTTATTTGAATTAAATATTAAATGGCATCAGGTGAGTATGTGTGCCTTGTTACAGGAAAACATGACATGTTTAAAGCAAGCCAGCAAACAAAAAGTGGAGTAAAGCTACAGCAGGAGTCCACGCTGTGTGGCCGTTGAGGAGCGTGCAAACACAGCATTAGTGACTTATCACCTCAAACCAGAAGCACAACAAAGCCTTTGTTTATTCTGCAAATCTGAGGCAAAATAATTGCTGCAACTTATCTTCAGATGCTGAAAAAGCCACCCGAAGCGCACCTGTGCTTGTGGGCTTGGAGTCCCTTGGAAGCAAGCTGCTTTCAGTCATCTAGGCAGGTAGGGAAGTGGGGACCCTCAGTCTAAACAGAGGCACCCTCCATTCCTACCCAGGCCTGGGTTCATGACTGCACTCGTGTCGTGGAAATCCTTCAGTCGGAAGGAACTCCTTACTCTGTATCATGGCCTTCAAACACGAGCACCTGTCCTTGCCGGCTCTTGCCCTGCCTCTGTCCACCTGACCCACCAGCCCCAGAGAGGGGGCTCTCTCTGTGCCCCTGGGAGTTGCCCACATGCCCTCAGCTGTGTGTGTGCACCGGCTGTTTCCAGCGACTGGAGGTTCCTTCCTCCCTCTCATCCGGACAGCGTGTTCCCACTCCTCAGGACTCATCTAAAAACTCCTCAGAGAGAGTCCTCAGGGCCAAGCTTTTCTTAGTCACTTAAGGTGGGCGCATTCCACTCCTCCATGTCTTCAAGGACATTTTAAAAAACATATATATATATATGTATGTTTCGGTCATACATAATGACATTATGAATGACATTTATAAATCTGCAGTTTGCTAAGTAACGTAACTCTATAGCATCTATATTTGAATGCTTTTTTTTGTGTGTGTGTTTTGAAAGGTGAAATGCACCTACCTGTACATACACAGCCTTTTAGTGTAATTAGCCCTTTGGTGTAATTTATATATGTTTTTATAATTTCCTTGCTAGCATAAATGTTTTATATTTGAAAAAGTTATCTGGAGTACTACATAGAAGACTGACTTAACCTTGTAAAGTTGAATCGTAATCACTGAACTTTTGGAAGCATTAAGAGTTAAGCTTGCATAAAATACTAGATTTAGGAAATCGTCATATTGGCCAAGAGCAGGGTGTTTTCTATGAAGGTCATTATTTTGAATTAAGAATTAATGTTTAACATTCCCAAATTATGTTTTAAGGGTTTGATATAATTTGCAAGAAGTGTTTATTTCCAGTGTTTCCTTAAATTCAAAAGAAAGCTTATATTTAAAATGTCATTTTTTTTTAAAATCTGCAGGACCAAGCAGAGTGCCTGGCATGTAACAGATGTTCCATAAAGGCTTGTGGAATAAATGAAAAGATTTATGAAGACTGACTTTTCAAGCCCTGGAAAAATCCTGATTCATCACTTTCCATTACGGAGCCAAACATATACTCCCTTTTCAACTTACTTGCCTGCCTGGAACTTGAAAGAACTTTTGTTAACAAAAAAAATCCCATTCCTATACCTGTCGCTGCTGGGTTGCACAAGCTCACTTAATGTATTTTTTTTTTCTCCAAGTGGACTTTGCTTAGAACCCATAGATGTGCCACAGATGTTTTATGAGCTAACATTTATTTTAGGCACTTTGGCCCACTGGACATGATCTCGTAAGCCCGAACTCTCAGCTGACATGCTGTTGAACGTAATGAGGAGATTTAAAAAGGTATCACTGAGGAGTAGCTGGATTGCAGAGAGCCAGAGGGTGGGAAGGAGATGGAAGTGAGCCACAGAAAGCTTCCCGCTGCTCTCGCAGGCAGTCGAGGAGCCGCGGCCCCGATGTGCAGTCTGAGAGCACCCCTCCCCAGCCGGGGACGAACGCAGAGCCTAGCGGCTGTCCCTGGGATTCAGTGCTCCCAATAAAGGGAAACTGAGTAATAGCACTTCACAGCAGAGCTAGCTGAATGGCAGTGGGGGAGTCTCTGAGCCGCCGTGCGGTATTCTGGATAGAATCCACAGAAATCCCAGAATACCCTTTTCCTCAGATAGGGTCTTCAATTAATTATGGGAGCTAAGTTGTTGCTGGGCATAAATCAGAGACTGAGAAAATGTCATACCTCAATCCATAGGGGAATTCACCCAGGGGAAAGGAAAGGTTTTAAAGGTTTCTGAAAGCCATACAATCTCCATTTATATAGAAATCTTTGCAAACTTTATTTAGTTATTCACTGGTAGTATGGGGGCAAAGCTTTCAGTTCAGTGGAGCAGAGGCGCCTACAACTTGGCATTTAAAAACTGTGCAGAGTGAACAGCTGTGGGATGAAGGTGCAAAGTTGGTTTCCCCAGTTCGATTCAAATCGAACATTCATTTAGTGCCAAATCTTTGCTAGCGCTCTAAGGACAAAAACAAATGGCCCTTACAAGGCCTTCACGGGGTTCAACAAAATTAGTCATTGCAATTGCCTATTGTGATGACACTTTATGATGTGTGATGATCCATCTGTCTGCTTACCCCCAGTAGACTGCAAACTCCATGAGGGCAGAAATGTGTTTAGCCTGTTCCCTTCTGAATCCCCAGAGTCTAGTCCAGGGCCTGACACATAATAAGTGCCCAGTAAAAACTTCAAATGCATCAAAGTAGATCCCAGTACTGGCCCTCAAGAAGCTCACTGCCCTGCAGGAAACAGATAGGAAAATAAAGGGATTGTAGCAATAGGTGATGAGGCCTGGAGCAGCTACGAGAGATGAAAGAGTGGGAACACCAAGTCAACTGGACAAGGTGGGGTGGTGGGATGCTTCCAAGAGGGGACGGAGTCTAAGTAAACTTTAAAAGGTAAAGCCAGACAGAGGGAATAGCTTGGAAAAAGGTGTGGAGGAGAGAAGTATTTTGTTCCTCTTCCTGGGAATTTAGTCCAAAAATCACTGAAGTGGCCCATTATCAAAATAGCAGGCACAAAGTCTTTGGCCAAGCCAAATGCCAAAGGGATTCACCTGTCCTCAGGTTGACCTCACCAGGTGACAGGGGGGTAAGTCCGCCAATCATATGACACCATGCTGCAGTCATTTAGGTCCCTGTCAACCGTCAAATCAATGGACCTCTTACTTTTTTCCTTAAATAGCCAGAAGCAGCCAATAAAATGCACATCAGAAAACAAAAAGAGAAAGCCCTTTTCGAGAGCTTTATTGAGGCTGTAAGTCCTCGTAAGCTGAGTTCCGGAACATTCTTTCATGGGAGACACAAGTTGGAAGAATGTTATGAATGAGGCTGTACACTTAGCAAAGGGAGTGGTACCCTCAATCTACAAGCGTTAAAAAGTGTGTCAAAAGCTGGGGACTGAGGGCTTGGATCAAAATCTGAGTTCTGGTGAGCCACTTAGAATGAAAGCATCAGGATTTTGGGCCAAGGATCCACGATGTGTAACTCATAAGGGCTCTGGAGACTGCCGAGGGGCTGCTGCGAGCTAAACCACTTCGTAAGCCATTATCTGTGCTGGGAAGACTTTGTACTCAAGTAGGACGTGTGCAGGTTTGGCCTTGGGAGCTGAAGATGCTCTTGCAACTATCCCTTAGTCACTAGAGCACCTAGTCTTGGATGAAAGAATTTTCCTTTTTTCAGTTGAGCGCAATTTTTCTCTCCATTCATGGGATGCTATTTCTCAGAAAAGAACATGGGATTTGGCCAGGTAAGGATCTCATCTCATGATCTTCTCCCTCCTGTATCCACCTGGCTTGCTTCCTCATTTCCTTCCTGTACACCTGTAACTCCGTTTATAAGGGTAGCCTTCCCTGGCTATCCTATCGAACACCGAACCTCCACCCTGACCCCTGACTCTTCCTCTACCATCTCCTTGCTTTGGTTTCTCCTCAGCATTTACCACCTAACGTGCCATATACCTACCTATCTTTATTTTCTTTATACCCTATTTAGAATAAATATTCTTAGGCAGGAATATTTGTTTGCTTCACTGTTAAATCCCCAGCTCCTTGGAAGACTGGCAGAAAGTCAGTACTAAGTATAGGCAGCCCTTACTATACATGGCATCTCACTGACCGTGGAACTGGGCAAAGTGAAGACATGGTACCAACACACATGAGTTTCAGTAAACATAGCACCATTCACACAAGGACTGCCTAAAAATAACTGCCTGGAAGAATGGAGCTGTTCCATCTTCTTACTTGGTGGGCTAGGCCACCCTGGGTAGTTTATTATTTGCCCTATAAAACACCATTCCTTACAGAAATTTCCTCCAACAATCACTTACGAAGGACCAATACAAAGAACGTATTTGGGGATACTCTATTTAGGTCATGCTCTCCTTTTTCCAAGACTACCTCCTTCTGAGGCCTAACAGACTCCACCTTAACCATAAACCGTTGGACTGGAAGTGGACTAGGCAGAAAGAGCCAAACTTTTAGTAAGGGGAGCTCGAAAACCTGAATGGAGAGGTGGAGATCTGGAGGAAATGGAGGCTGAGGGAAGGAACTAAAGATCTATGAAGATGAGGTCATGGAGAGAAACTGGGTTCTACCTGCATCATGCCTGGTTCTGTCTCTTCTTCAGTTCCCTGGCCTGTGCTTCCCCCACAGATGTCCCTGTTGTCATTTGTTGGACGTTACTGGGTATGTTCCTTTGCAGTGGGTTACTCTTTCTTACCATCCAAAGAACCCGTATGGAGACAGGCAGCCGGGGCCACCACTCCCTGGTCACTACAGATACCAGGAGACTAGGAGACATATTTTTTCCTGCAAGGATACTGATTCTGGACTAAGAAGTCAGGACAAATAGCTGGAGACCATGTGTCACTGATGTTCCCCAAAATTCATAGGTTGAAATCAAATGCCCAATGTGATGGTATTTGGAGGTGGGGGTCTTTAGGAGCTAATTAACTGATGAGGGTAGAGCCCTTGTGATGTTATTAGTGCCCTCATAAGACAAGGCCACAGAGCCCAGGTCACCCTCTTTCCACCAAGTGCAGATACAACAAGGAGTTGGCCCTCTGCACCCAAAAGAGGTGCTCCCCAGGACCATCATCATGCTGGCACCAGGATCTTGGACTTGCAGCCTCCAGAACTGTGAGAAATAAGTCTCCTGCTGCAAGCTATTCAGTTCATGGTTATATGTTATAACAGCCCAAACTGACTAAGACACCAAGCCTACATCACATTCAGAATGCCCCCAGGCTTGTGGAGACACCTGGGTCAGGTTCATCTTAACTGGAGAAGAGAACCGAGACGCCTTCGTGAAGGTCTGCTTGCCTTGTGATTCAGTACCACAGCTGGGGGACCCGAGTTTCCAC